CAGGCACCTCGGGCTTGGTTCGATCATTTTAGTACATTTTTATTACAATATGGATTCTTTTGTAGTTTAGCTGACCCCTCTTTGTTTGTCTACCATTCTAATCTCGGGACACTAATCCTTCTTCTTTATGTAGATGACATGCTTTTAACTGGTTCTTCTATTACTCTTGTTACATCATTTGTTGAACTCTTGAGCAGTGAATTTGCTATGAAGGACTTGGGATCTATCCATCACTTTCTCGGAATCGAAATCTCTGAAACGAAAGATGGTCTTCACCTTTCCCAAGCACACTATGCCCTTACCATTCTCGAGCGTGCTACCATGGTGGATTGCAAGCCAATGAGTACACCCCTTGAAGGCAGAACCAAGTTATCATCTAATGATTCTGTATTAGAAGATCCAAGCCACTATAGAGGACTAGTCGGTGCTTTACAATATCTCACTCTCACTAGACCGGATCTCTCATATAGTGTTAATTATGTGTCTCAATTCATGCATTCTCCCACCGTCGTTCATTTAAAAATGGTTCGGCGCATCTTACGTTACGTTAAAGGCACAATTGATATTGGATTATATTTTACTTCCCATACTTCACTTGATCTTTGTGCTTTCTCTGAAGCAGACTGGGCTGGTTGTCTCTCTACAAGGCGATCTACTACTTGCTATTGCACATTCCTTGGACAAAATCTCATCTCATGGTGTGCAAAAAAACAACACATTGTCTCACGGTCCAGCATTGAGGCCGAATACCGTGCGATGGCAAACACGACAGCTGAACTCACGTGGCTAACCTTCATTCTCAAAGACCTACGTGTCCCACTGGTCTCTACCCCAACTCTCTATTGTGACAATATAAGTGCGCTCCATATGACGATCAATCCTGTCTTTCATGCTCGAAGTAAACATATCGAATTGGATTACCATTTTGTGCGCGAACGAGTTGCTCTAGGACTTTTGATCACTAAACACATCTCTACAACAAATCAAGTTGCAGACCTCTTTACCAAGCCAATGTCAAAGGCTGCCCTTAATCATTTTCGAACCAAACTCTGCCTTCTAGCTCGGCATAGTTTGCGGGAGGGTATTGGCAGAACCCCAACTGTGGCAACAACTGTGCCAACAGTTCGTGATTTGCGGGACTCTTGGAGTGATAAGGTGTCTCACAATAACTGGAGAGATAAGGATGAAGAGTCCTACAAATCATGTAAACCTTGACCGAGAAATACCAAGTGATTTGGAGTCCTATAGCAACGAGTTCAACCCCAACATGATAGTTCAATAAGATAGAGTTTATCTAGGATTTGGAGTTATCTTATGTAATTTACGATACAAACTCTTCTCCTTTAAATAGAGATGTATCTTCTCATTCCTTGTAACACAGAACACACAATCTTGTGCTCACGTTTAATTCAATAAAAATAGCTTCTCTCCTCCTTTTCATCTAATAGCACTATCTGGGCAGGTGACCTCCATAATTAGATAGATGAGGAATATCTAACTTGCTTTGATTTGACTTGAGAGGTATTTTGGCTTACTTTCTTTAGAGAATTTATCTATTTTTCAAATTCCAAAATTGAAAAATTAATTAGTGGTTTTACTTACTTATTCTATTGAGTTTGAACTTTGAACTCTGGTTATTGATTAGTGAATTTTGGATATTGGTTAATATACAGTACCTACTTATGAAGAACTCTTGATGAATGTCAACATCTTTAGCTTGGCCAAAAGATTTTAAAAATGACAGAATAACTGAATCCAAATAAAATTAAATGTTTTCGTTTAAGAAAATTAATAGTTACAACTCACAATAATTCATCACAAAGGTACAAGATCCTCAGAAATCAAATCGAAACAAAAACAGCTCAAATTATCGGAGCCGCTGAAATGAATAAAAGAATCGATAAAATTATCGGATTTTAAGGTTAATAAGGATTATTTTTCGTGAGGAAGGAGGCGAATAGGAAGACCCTTGGCAGGAATCGGCATTGGATCGACGACAAATTTTCCATCATTAGGTACCATCTTCTCAAACTTGAACCTCTTGACAAGATGGTGCATGAAGACAAGGATCTCGAATCTAGCATACTCTAGTCCGGGGCACATTCTCGGTCCTCCGCCGAAAGGAACAAAAGTGTAGGGTGCGGGCCCCGCTCCCTGAAACCTCGATGGATCGAACTTCTCCGGTTCCGGAAAGATTTCCGGGTTTTTGTGTGTTGCGGTGGCGCTCCAGTACAACTTGAAACCCTTTGGAATAAAGTAACCCTTGTACGAAAAATCAGCAATGGCTTCTCTGAAAGTTCCAGGAACTGGTGTCGCAAGTCTCATGACTTCACAAGCAACGTTCCAAGAATATTTCATCTTTTGTAGGTCTTCCCAGTTGAGCGAATCGCCTGGAGCTTTTGATTTCAAAATCTCCATTTGTTCGTTGTAGACTCCGTCGTAAATATGAGGAAGCTCGGCTAGATACTTGACGATAAAAGTGCAAGCAACGCTGGCACTATCGCGGCCTCCAATCAGCAAGCCCAGGATCTTATCCGCAATATCGAACTCTTGCATGAATTTGCCGTTTTCATCGCTGGTGAGAAGCATGTGGGATAGAATATCCTGGGTAGGCGAAGCTTTCCCTTCGGCCAAGTCGATTTTGCGCTGTTTGATGATGGAGAGAAGCTCTTGTCTGACAATCTTGGAGGCCTTAATACCCTTATTGAAGGGTGTTCCGGGCAAGTCAATAGGGATGGCAAACAAACTCGACGCCAACAGATTGAAAGGCTTCGATAATCTATCGACCTGTTGAGGATCTTCGACACTCGCGAAAAGCCTGCATGCTAATTGGAAGGTGTAGTCTTTTGCGAGAGGCAAGACGACAACTTCGTTCTTGTTCTCCCATCCCTCTTCAAAGTGTTTTTGGGCCATACGGTCCATTTTACCGATGTAGCGACGAAGGGCTTCGGTTTTCAAGAAAGTGTGGAGCATTCTCCTCAACTTGATGCCCTCTTCTTCGGAAGAAGATCGAGTGGAAGATGGGAAGATTTTGTCGATGCCACTTGGGAACCATGCCCTGACAAGCTTGTTCTCGTTCGAGAACAAGAATTTGTTGCCGCTCGCACCGCTCAAAACGGCGGCCTTTTCGCCCACAAGGTGAGTTCTGAAAACACTCGATGAGTACTTAGCCACACGATCCAATACGAACTTCTCCGGGTGGCCCTTCCACCCCGCCCACAGGAAATGTAGGCTCTCCCCAACCAGGGGCCACCCTGTGTTTCCTGGCGGCAGGGGACCGCCGGCGGCGGCCGTGGCGGCAGATTTCTCCTTTTTGTGGAATGAGAATATTAATGAAACGAAGACGCAGATGATCAGAGAGATGAACAAGATCATCATAATTGCTACTTCGATAGAGAGAGGAATGTGTGTTTGTTGCACACTTGCAATGTGTGTGTTTGTGTGTGTTTAACTGAATGATTTGGTAATGTTGGACAATTATATATATATAGACTATAGAGTATAGAGAGAGAAAGCAAGAGTCAATTGGCTGCTATAAGTCAAGAAAATACTCTCTTTCTTAGAAATTATGTGTACGTATTCCATTGTTTAATTAATATTTAGAATAAATTACAACCAACTCCCTGATGTAATGTCTGTTTATGAAAAAATCGCTTCTTTTTTTAAAATTACATCCAATCCACCCCTTGCAATTTGTAATTTTCTTACATTAAGACTATTTTTATTGGGGGTGGATGTAAGAAATTTACACAGTACATGCAGATGGATGTAATTTCTCAAATCTGAAGGGGAGGTTTCGTAAATAAGCCTTACCTTAGGGATGTGGTTGTATTTTACGCTTAATATTTGTGCTAGTTTATTATTATTAATACATATATACAGTTGTTGGTTGAAATTTTGAACCGCCTCGTGCTTTTTTGCCAATACATATTTGGTCAAAAAGAAGGTGCACAAGGAAGGTGCTGTGTTGAAGAAATAGTGTAGTTGTTTGACCATAATAATTTAATTAATTTTTATGTTCTTTTTGAAATTGATATTAAAATATTCACTTGATTAAGAAAGTGGCACACAATTTCATATCAACTAATTTTAACTAGCCCAAGTAATTATTTAATGGTATTTGACTACTTTCTAGTGAGGGTTTATACATTTAAAAATATTACAATAAAAAAAGCTCATATATTATTGGATAATTTTAATTCGTTGGTGAAGCTCAAGTTTTGCAATATGTACTGATTTTATTGAAGATAAGCTTTATTACAACAGTATTAGTTTAGAAAATGGTTACAAACTCGAGAATATTCCACTAAATTTGATAATGTAAGAATAGTAGTGTAAGAAGATTCATAGGTTACAAATGGTTGTGATTATTCAAACATGAGGGGCATTTTCGTAATTTGACATTACCACTTACCCTTTTTTTTCTTCTTATTTTGGATAATAAATTTTCCATTAATTTTGAAACACTTTGCAATATTAGGGGTGTAAACGAGCCGAGCCGACTCGTGAGCTCGACAAGCCGGCTCGTAAAAAGCTCGAACTCGGACTCGAGATTTTTGAGCTCAAGCTCGAGCTTTCTGACGAGCCAAGCTCGAGCCGGTTTTCAGTTGTTCATGAGCTCGCGAGCAGATTTATTATTATTTTTTTATTTTTTTTTATTTTTTATATGTTATTTTTATTTAAATAATGTATAATAATATAAAATATTATAGAAATAAATACAAATATTAAAAATATATATAATTACAATTTAGGTTTTATTTTTTATTTTTTTAAATAATTTTTAATAATAAAATAATAATTAAAAAAATATTTAAAAAAAAAAAAAAAAAAAAAAAAAAAAAAAGACAATGGGCTCGAGCTCGACAAAATTGACACGAGCTCGAGCTCGACAAAATAAACTCGAGCTCGAGCTCGAGCCAGCCAAAAGAGGCGAGCTCGGCTCGTTCACACCCCTACTTTGCATTACCACTATCTAGTTGTACGCAAAAACGACATCGTTTGAAAAAAAATGAGTGTTCTCTAATTGAAAGGGGAATATAGAAAGGAGAAAAGGTGGTGCACAATTACACTGATACAGTACTGATTCATCTTTTAACAGTTTTAACAACTGAAGTTAGTCATATAGACCAGCATTAGGAGACAAACACTTATCGAATCGAGACATCAATTACTCGTTTTTCATCTTCTTTTTTTCCCCATGTAAAGTAGATTCATTGCATCCAGGCTAGCAAGATCCGTTTCCTGTAAACAACGACGCAAGTTCGAACGAAAAGCGGTTGATTCGGATAATTCAGATAATATGCAAATGAACTCTGTTTGAGCGGTGCTAATTAAGGATATATTCGAACGTTAAAAATGACTAACCCCAGAACTGGCGTAAGGTTTTGGCAATCTCAGCAAGGCATTTTCTCTCGGGAGGGTTAAAAACGTCCAACTTAGCGGCTTCCGGGATTGTGTATAGAAGGTCTCGCTTTGCTTTTGCGGAGAGTACCAGGTAAGTCGGTCCGTGGATGTTAGTCAGACCAACAAGCTGAAGCAAACGAAATATGATTAGCGAATTATGCAATAAAATTATGACCAACATTTGCATCGCAAGATATGAATTATAGGACGATTACTTTATGAAAAGATATCAAAAAAGAAACTCTCAAGGTGAAGCTTTGGATTTATAGTGGAGAAACAAAACCGTATTCTCACTGAGGAAGCATAAAACAGTTTTCTGCTTCATATGCATAACGCAACACAAATATTTCCTAAAATTTGAAAATGCGTAACACTGTTCAGATATAAAGCAGGAGATCACTATTTCAAATTTACTAAATTAACGATATATTTCTTGAGGGCCCATCAAGTTCCATAATCACAAGTTCTGACATATATTCTTGTGTTTGGGAACCCCATCACGATAATTAAGAAGCGTTCCAAATCCTTTGTGCAAAGCTATCATCTATATCTTACTAAAAACTTCCTTCGGTGATCCAAAATTCAGTAATTTCGTATGCATGTCATGAACTCCATACAAAAACCTAAGGCCCCGTTTGGTTGGCAAGATAAGATTAGCCAAGATAAGATTAAATAATCTAATGAAACCCAATTATTTTGTTGGAGCTCGCGACGTCCAACAAAAAAAACTCATTAGAAGGCAAGATAAGGCAAGATAAGCCATGATTATATAATCTTGGCGGGTCGACCCGACAATTTATTGGGAATACCAAACATCAAATTAAGTCCAACTATTTAGTTAATCATGGCTTATCTTGGCAACCAAACGGGGCCTAAAAGTATTGGCGAAAGGACTACACATACACTAACAAGCTATGTCAAAAACAAATTAGCATCCAAAATAACTTGCCTGCTGCAGCCAAGGAATTATGGAGTTGACGAATCTTTGCTCCATTAAGCGTGAGACCAAGTTGCTTAATAGTTCACTCGCAGTCTTGTCTGATAAACTTTCCAGAACAGGGCCTGTTTTATCTAGAAGCTCAAATAAAAGAAGTTCATTCCTCGAACACAGAGCTTGAGCATATGCCGAGTCCAGATCCCCGTCGCACAAATAGTCTTTCATAACTTCCCACTGGCTATCCCTAGGCTCCAGTTTATTTAGCCTTGACTTAGCAGGAGGAACCGAATAAAACACGCCATTTTTGCTCATTTGATCTTCGTAAATTTCTGGGCAATAGTTTGTCGGAGCTCTGTTTCCTAGAGAACTTTTGCTTGGCTTAAGCGTGCCATCACTCCACATGTCGGAGTTTTGTTTCGCAAAGATGTTTGATCTGTTTCTGGTAAATGTGTTCTCCTCTCGACCTGCTGCATGTTTACTTGGTAACGGAAGTTGCTTGTTGCTATCGACAGACAGCCTTGGAGTACATGTAGAAAGCCTAGGGGAAGCAATGCTTGGACTTCTCTTCAGAAGTCTAGTTGCCGATGTATCTGAATATCTCCCACCATTAGCAAGCTCTTGTGCCATTTTGTCAACCACAAGTTCAAGGTTTGAGACCTTTGACTGAACCATTGACACACTATCCATCATTGAAGTCGTAAATGCCTGAAAATAGAAAACCAGAACTCGTGCTTAGTTGCTCGTAAAACTTCAAAATTCCTGGGGAAAAAAAGGACCATCTAATTCAGCTTAGAATTTTTTGGCAGATGATTCTAGTTTGACAAGGGGTGCAATGGGTGGGAGATAGTATAATAACATAGTGAAAAACAATTAGCATGCGCTCCTATATATGAACACCCAAAGAATACGTCATCGTTACATTACTTAACAAAGAATTTATTTGACATTTAATTAGATTTAGGAACTCTAGATGATTATGTCTCCCTGCAAGTTCTTGTTTTAAATATATGAGTAGTTCATAACTTGATAAGAATTTTGTCTGCCGTTATACTATTATTATGTACTTCTTTCATGAAGAATATTACATGCAATTGAAGGTCAGTCCTACAGAGCAAATTCAGTAATTTCAGATCCCAATCCTAATCGTACAACAAAAAATCATATGAATGAAGTGGTAAAGAAAACGAAAGCAGTACCTTCAGCATATCCACCAAACTAGATTGCTTGTTTTCAATCTCCAAAAGGTGCTTTTTGATTACCATCATGTCTTTTTCTGTTTGTGAACAACACTCATTCGTGGTGCGCAAAGTTGATTCTGTAATAGTTGAATCTAAGCTTCTACGGTCATGCATTTTCGCCAAGTATCTCTGCTCTTCAATACTAACTTCATCCGCTGCAAATCTTTGACTAGTTCCAGTTGACTTCACTAAACTGGAATCATCGAAACCATCAGAATGGGTCATGACAACCTCCGATTTCATGCATTCAGTGAAAAGATTAGAAACAGACGAGCATTCTTGTTTGTCCTCCACTTCACCATATTCATATCCAATATTGCTACAACCTCTGACATCAGAATTTATTCTCTCGCATCTCTTGATAAGAGAACTATCCTCGGATTCATCATTATGATTCTCTGCTACTGAGATGTTACGACTCTTTGGAACTGCAATTTCAATTTTCCAGTTAGTAGTTCCGGAATGCTGAGATTTCCCGGAATAAGTTCTTCCAGCTTTTCCAGAAGAGAGAGGAACCCTTTTCTTAGCCAATTCACTACCATATCTCATCGCTGTATTATCCTTCAATGTTGAGACACTGGCACTAGAAATATCACCATAGTCATCTCTATAAGATGTTCCTGCAGGAGTTAGATAACTTCCACATAAACAACCAAAGTATGTACTAGCAAAGATGATGATACGATAAAGAGAAAACAGGCAGATGACATCTAATATCAGAATTGACGAGATCATACTGCATCTTCTTCATGAAACACGAAAGCTAGATTTTATACAATATAGCTTAGAAGGGCCACTGTTCGTTCCACGCATGATAAATAATAATGTGGCACTAGATGGAACTGCATCAAATATAAATGTACCGCCCAGCAATGATGCCAAGTCCTGTTTATTTCATGATTCAGGCTTTCAAGTTTGTGAATTTTCTTATAAGATTTTAGTTAATAATTATGACTTGTGACACATGTGGACTTAAGCTGACTTATAGCCCTTAATCATTCCGCATAATAGATTGCAGGTGATACAAAATTTGCAACAAATAAATAGCTCCGATCCTAACTTTTGATTCATCACGAAACACAAAATATTTTTCAAGCATAATGTAGCAAGAGCATTCTTTTCCAATCCACTGCAACATAATACGCCATAAAACAACTTTCTTAACCTCTTCGCACATCAGAACATGGGGTTTATAAGAATACCTTTGATAGAAGATCCAGTTTCAGAAGGTTCGGGTGTATCAGGCCCAGGAATATTTCTCCAAAGCTGCAAGGCCTGCAAAGCTATGTCCCTAACTGGTTTCACCTTTTAGGGGCAAACATGAAACTCCAAAGTTAAGCATTTTCAAAACGAATCTTCTGGGGTAATAAATTATTAAATAAACAGATAACCTTGTCGAACCGACATGTTTCAAGACCACGGATACATGATGCACGATACGAGCCTAGGCATGCTGCACTGCAAGAAGCAATATCTCCCAATGCTGCACATGCAGCTTTACGTGTTGCCCAGTCACTGCTCTTCAGTGATTCCTGAATGCTTGTGAGTGCAGCAGTTAAAGAACTGTGCGTTAAAGTACCACCAGCCTGAAATATCAACGAAGCAACAAGTTTATTACAGTGGTACAAATGCACCGCCAACTGACTTCCGCATATTTTAACATTGACTTTGTCATATAACAAGTCCTCGAGAAAATGACAGAACACTAAACACAATTCTTGAAATTTGAATTGCAATTCATTGGCTAATGAATGATACTTCAACTGTCGCTTGATTATTACAATCAAATTCGGAGTAATAAATTATATGCCACAGGGTTACGGGGGAGAAATGAAGAGAAATTATGGGTGTTAACAAAGACTCACCAGAATGATGCTCCTGTTTAACTCAACGACTGCCGGCTTTGCCATGAAATGGGGATTCTTCAACAACTTGTTAGTTTTTGCCAACATCTTCTGCAAAACCATAGGAGGAGGGTCGTGGATATTGTCAATGACCTGCGACAAACACATTGCAGAACCAGACTGCACTTGCTTGTTCTGCTCACCCAGGGCTTCAAAAAGCGGCCTCACTAGCACCACAAAAACCCCATCAGCCTCGAATCTACCGCTACTGCTCAATTTTGAAGCCAAGACACCAAATGTTTCTACACATGCATCTCTTACGACAGAATCCGAGTCCTTTAGCCGCTTGACAATGCTAGCCACCATCTTCCCAAGATGTGGTCCAACAAGACTTTCATGGAAAGTTGCAAGTGTACCCATTAGGCGAACACACTCTTTGCGAACTGCACTTTTCTTCTCAGTATCCGTGTCTAATATGCAAGACAGAAACGGGGCAATTCCATCCGGCGTCAAGCATTCGATTGTTTTCTCGAGCTCTTCTACCCCGAGTTGACAAGTGTCCCTATCTGCAAGCTTGCTCAGTGCAAGAACCACATGCTGCTTCAGCTCAAAAACAGCTTGCTTATTACTCATTTTCGACATTGCTTTTCCTTTCACCGTATTTACATGTGTCTTCATCTTATTTAGACAGTGAAACTGAACTCCCTTCAGTCAAAATTTACCCCAGCATCAATTTCTAAGCTCCCATTCGCGACGGCTGTCCTTCAAAACATAGAAGAAAAAATCATAATAAGAAATGGAAGTGTATTACAGAATCAGAAATTAAAAGTAGAAAAAAAATATATTAATTGAAACTCAGCTAGTAGCAGTCATTCACAAATTCTTCCAATAACAAGTAAACGAAGTTATTTATTTCAATAATCTTAGAGACGGAACCAGAAAATATCTAACCCAGTACAATTACATACAACACAATCATAAAATTAACACGAAATTACCCTCAGAAATTCAAAAAAAAAAAAAACAAATACTTACATAAGAAGCCAACCATTTTTCCACCTTCACGGAAGAGTAATACTGTGATGCAGCAACGCTACAAGCACTGCATCGAGATTGAAGAAGCAAACGAATTAAATAATATATAAAATAAGCTGGATGTAAAAAAAAAAGTGCTACAGTTCTGCCGTGAAACTACTTTAAATTCAAAATTCGAAGACATATAGTAATAAAAAGGGAATTGAAAAACAACGAATCTCAGTACAGATGAGGAAAAGGAAGGCGGAGTTCAAGAATATCTCACCCGTCCGTACGCACGCACAAAGAACGGGGCCAGTGTGTGTGAGAGAAAGTTAGAGTGAGAGTGATAGTGTGAGAGTGTTAGAGAGAGAAAGAGGACAAAAGCGTTGTTACTTGAGGGGGGTTTTGAGTTTTGGCGCTTCAGCTTAGGTTTTCGAAATTGTAGGTGGGTCCTTTTCAACTCCGCTTCAGAAAAGGTATTTATTTACTATTTTGGAGTTATTTAATTATTTGTTTCAAAATTCAAATTTCATTTATTAAAATTACAACAAAATTAAAAATCATTATGACATTTTAAATAGTTGTCTGGAAGTGAATTGAGTCAACTGAGATACATCCCATGACCCGACCCAAATTACGGTCACCGCTGAGGTAAACACAAATTACAAAAAACTCCTTTTATTTGAATAATTATGACCCCGTTATATATTATTTTTGCGAAAAAAGGCCGAAAATCAATAGGTAAATTTGACCCCAGAAAATTACTTGATAATTCGCCACTATGTGTCGGGTCAAGTATAAAGTGATACATAATAAATACGTTACATATATAATATAGTACGAACATAAGGGGCTTCTTCGTAACACCATAAATAATTGAAAGGTGGTTTTAATTATTCAAACATAAAGGATTTTTTCATAATTTAAGCATACCTCAGAGGGTAACGGTAATTTACCCTATTTTTACGAAAGATATTCGAAGATGTCTTGTCAATAAAATTATCTCACTAGTTGTATTATATCAGCATTTCTTTTAATTTGATCAGTGAGTTCTAACAAATAAAATTAAGGAAAATTACATTCAATTGATAGATATTAACTACATTAAATACCATCAATATCCCATTTGTTTTTCTATCTTTTAGGGATAATTTTCTCACGAAAAAGTCCATTACACAACTTGAATAACGAAATCAGATAGGTTCGGAAATGAGCTACGAGACGAAGTGCATGTGCATCCAAACGGGATAAGTTATATAGTAATTAATAAATAAGGCTAAAAAAACGACTTCGAGATTCATCTGCAGCTGATAATTCATTGGGTGCGTAGAACCCTGCACCGGTATTCTCCTAGAGCCCATATCGGAAATATATTCCGATATGCTGCGTATGTGATCATGCAATTCTTATTGAACACCCCCATTATCTCCTAAAAATCACAATATAGGGAAAAAAGTTTAGGTCAAGATAATCTGCTGAACGAATTCTTGAGTAAAAATCGTTATCTCAAGAAAGGACGTTTAAAACGCGAACTTTTATATATTCAAAAGATTTAACGGAGAAATGCCGTTTTGTAACTTGGAAAACAACAGAACTGAATTACCTGTTGTGGGAAATCTCCATTTTCACATTGCGAATTAATTAGGACTTTGGCTGCACGGTGCAAAGGCAACGGGTCTCTCTCAGCCTGCGGGATAGCAGGATAATAAGGTAACCGTACGATTTGCATTCAAATAAGTAAAATAGGAAGAATTTGACTTTAATCTAATAATAAATCCCGGCAGACAATTTAAACAGAACTATATACATCAAATTGAGCAGGAAATCATAACAGGAAAGGACAAAAACATGCAATCCCTATAATTCTTGCGGTAACTAGTTTACCTGCCCGGCATCGATGAGAGTTAGCAAAGCCCATCCCGTATTTACCACATGAGACCTGTCGCCTTCTAGATTTGAATACACCTGAACAGATGAAGCATCGATTTAGTAGTGCTGTTTTTCATTCTAAAGGCATAGCACTAATTGAAAATGTATAGCATCGATTTAGTAGTGCTGTTATTCCTGAGATATATGCATCCTACTTAATATATATTTTCATTACAGACTGAAAAGAAGAATGCTTAAGATTTCTGAGTCACATTAATTCGGTCATCGAGGTCTCGAAGATATAGTCTAGGGTCCCGTATGTGAGCCTATGCATGCAGTTGAAGCATGGTATTTTCGTCCCTAAATTGGTTTTACATTCACTTCTACCACAACTAATCCAACAAGATTGATGTCAGGTGGCCCCCCACTTAAACTTGTGCCGCGGGTCTATTCCTCCAACAGTAATAATCATGTTTGCATATCTATTAACTCAGGAACTACCACGGAATAAACCAACTATGGTACTAAATTTTTCAAATATTAAAATTGGTCACATTCACACATCACCAGACGAGAAATGTCAACCTTGTTTTGGCATGAAAGATAACTCTCTCCCCATCCACCACATGGAAGCTGTTTAGACAGCAGAAAATCACAAGCCTTGCGAATGGCAGAGCAATTGCTGTAGCTTCTCCCAGCTGCCACCAGGCCTTTTACCCCAAACCATGTTCCGTAAGTGAAGCAAACTGCCCAAGAACCATACCTGTCACAAAGTTTCGTTCATGGCTCATAGTCAATCGCTATATTAAATAGAAATCAAAATACTACGTGCATAACTAATAGCTGATCAGCAGAGACACACAATAATAAGACAAAAGCCAAGGAAGAAATCGAAATATGAAACTTCATTATGCATTATCAAGCCTCACGCATGCTCCAACAAGTATTAGAAAAGGGCAAGGTACTGAAAAGGAAAACTGACCAAGAGCCATCTGTTGCTTGAATCTTTTCCATGAATTTAGCCCCTTTTTCGATACATCGTTCCACTTCTTCTTTTCGATGCCCAGGATATAATTTCTTAAATGATGTCAATGCTTGAATAGCAGCCGACGTGCATTCTACGTAGCTACAAAGTCAGTGAAGTTCAAATCGATTAGAAGGGGGTAGAGAAGACTACCAACTCTTGGGTATTTGTATATATATATATACACCTCTTATGTAATTTCACACTCTTTTGTTACTACAGAAAAGAAGTAGAATAAACGAGAGATATCTTACGGATAATCAATAACAATGTCACCAAAAGTTTCAGCAGGGTTGATTAGCTGCGAGAAAAGCATACAGAATAACATCACAAATTTGATATAAATATAGTGACAGCACAGAACCTTATCGAGCTTGTGCAGCGTGTAGAATGCACTAATAATGATTGAATAAGACGCATAATTCTGTGACTAGATGGCCAAAACATGTAGTAGAAATCAGCATAAGCATGTTCCATATATTTGTATAATTATCTATTAAAAACAGCAAATAAACGTGTAAACAACAATAGTCCTCTAGAGCTTCGATAGACCAGATGTAACAACCATTAACCTTAACTACTAGTTTCCATTTAAGCTGTCATTACTTCTCAAACAATCAAAATAAAGTACTTAGCATTCAAGAAAATAAAATAGAAGAAAGTAGTTCTGCAGTCTTGTAAATAAGATACATATAGAAAAGCGTACCTCCAACCAACTATATGATCTTGTGAGTTCATACGTTGCAAAGCCTCCTTCTGCGTTCTGCAAAATGTGCCATGAATATTCTCAGATTGGCGAAATGTTAACTATATGAATATTTATTAGATGTTATACTTAAAATGCAGTCACGAAGGACGAATAGACAATCAGAATGCATGTGAACCTGAAGAAGGCATATCGAGATCCACACTGAAATATTAATTTGTTGTTGTTTCACTACTCTGACCATAACTTGGTTTTATGGAACTTTGTAGATTATTTAGATTGCCAAATTTGAAAAGTTTCAATAACTACCAAAATTGTACAGATGTCACAGCAGAAGCATTAATTTTATTAACAATCAACTGATCGAATTACCTCACTCGAGTTTTCAAGTTGACCAACAGTTCAAAGTGCGGGAAGATAAAACATATTTTAGATGGTATCAGTTACAGTAGTATTTGCGGTTGAGTTTAAACAAAGGAGTAGTTTTCAAAACACCTGAAGGTCTAATAATTTAACTTTCCACCCTTATAGAGTTTCGATAGCTCGGACCAATCCGAGTCAACTAATATTAAGTTAAGCATGAAAATGTCCATCAGTCTTAAGTTTTTAAAATTTAAATGTAGTGTTATAATCCATAATCACACCATATTGCAGATTAGCATATAGTCCACATTGTCCCACATATATCATCTGCCCAAATCCACAGAATAATATTTCGAATGTTACTCAGCGTATTTCAAAGAAAATAAGCTATTCTTTAAACAAGTGTGGTACCTGTAGTGAAAGAACAACATTCACAGCATCATAAAACCGCTTAGCATCCAGAGGCTCACCAATAATTTGTGCTGGTAATTTTGACAATAACAGAGATGCCTGAATAACAAGCATGCATTATCAGGATAATGAACTGTCTGTATAAATGTTAGGAAAAAATTAAAATAAATCAAAAATGAGAAACTCTTCAGATTAAACTTGTTACTTTCAGTCCCTCGGCAGTGCAATCCGAAATAGGCCAACCATGGTCAGCAGTTGAAAATGGCCAGGCACCTTTGGATATGTGACGATACCAAAAATCTAAATCCCCAGGGCAATCATCTAACACCTTTAAAATCAAAGATAAAGAAATTATAAGATAATCAACATGGACTATCATAGTAAACAGTGTCAGTACACAGATGTCATGGATGGGATAAAGGAAAACTGAATGTTAACCTGTGAATTCTTTATGTATGTATGTGCTTTTTTTAAAGTTGGGCCAAATTCTTCAACAAGCTCTGTGGATAATATGGCTTGCACAGCAAAGGAAGTATCCCATGCCTGACTTCCATTGTATCCCTGAAAGAAAATATTGCATAATAGTTAAGTCTGCTATGGCGCATTCAAAGAAAAATTCACTTCAGCAATAACAAAATAACTCGATTAAAACAAAGGTGTCTTCCATATCTTAAATCTGTCAACTACGGGGACACTCATAGCAATTGGTCCAGGTTAGACTCAGACCATGTGGTTTCTACGAGTTACAAGAGGTAAACGACGTGTATGTAGCTCGATACTCTAGGCCTAACAGGTTTTTGTTCGAGATATGGGTTTTTCATTCTGTCACTACTTCCCCATTTTAATTTGGTCTTTTTTCTTCTTTATTTCCTCTCTTTTGCCTTTTCTTACTTCTTTTCCTTTCTTGGTTGCTTTATGTTTTCCTAAATTTGAATGTTTTCATTTCTCTTTCTTCTTTGCTTCCACTTGTTTTCATTTTTACACTGATCTGCTTCCCAACCTTCCCCACCCAGGCCTTGTTCTTGCTCATGTTCTGGGTCTTTGAACTGGGCCACTGCCTCTTCTCTCTTGCAGATTCAGAGGGGTAACTCATCACGCTTCTCAAGGACTCTTCTCTTTCCATATTTGATATGGCATCTAACAAATTTTGATCAAATAAATGGGTCTAGCATGTCAGGTTTGAGCTTTTGGGTCTGGATTAGAACAAGAAGTGACTATTGTCAATAGGAGAGGAGACTCTTGTTCTCTTAAGGTTAAATCCACCAGGTCTATTGCCGTACCTGCTTTTAGAAAAGATTAAATAGCAACAGATTTTCAATTTGTCTGCATCAACTTGTGGTGTGTCTCGTATAATGGTATCTAAGAATGTAGATCATGGTAAAAACATGATACATGAAAAGGAATCTAGGTGTCTAATGCCATCGCCACATAACACAGACATTGAAACTCTGTTCACATGTCCCAGAGATGGCTGGGTGATCCAACACTAGAGTTGATTTTGTATACGAATGAAAGCTATATCTAACAGATCCCTCCAGCAGAAGGTAAAATAGGATGAAATTGGACTCTGAAATCTATCTGATGAGTGTGGGTCTAATATACAAAAAAATGTTACCTGCATTTTCATGCCATCTTCTGCAACCCACAGGTAATCATATATTCTTGGAAGATGTAACTTGAAAGCTTCTGAATTTGGATCTTCCACCCAACAGCAAAGCATATTTAGCACCTGAATTTTGAATAAGGAAGACATAAAAAAGGGTGAGATGTTTTAACAATTGCAACATGTTGGCTTTCACTTTATTGAGTTAAGTCAGTAGAAGAAACAACTGAGACACAATATGAAGGACTTCTACCTACAAACCGAATATCCATCAAAAGTGAAAAAGGCTAAAAGAAATTGTCAACCCCACAATTTTAATAGAAACAAAAGACCACTGAGGGTAAGTTTCTCAAAGAATCACAAAAACTACCTTAGTAGGCGCATATCACCTACCCTAAAATGTATTGCCATATCTTTTTGTTCACATCATTTGTTATTTCATATTCAGCAATGCTTCCCACTCAGAAAGAAATGGAAGTTTTCAACTCCTTAGAACTACGGAAGGTAAAAATTTCAAGTATACCTTGTTTACAGGGCCTATACATATATAGCGTGTGTTTTCATCTTCATAATGTACATGCTCCATAACAGTGCGAAGAGCCTTATCTCTCAACTTTTTTCCAGGCCAATTCATGAAAACAGGTTCCGCAAACTTGTGGAGAGAAGCCCAAAGTATATCTTGTACAACAGGGTGTGGGTAGTATAGATCTTCCTGCATGAGCCACAGAGTGAGAGATTGATCGATAACTTGTAACCTATGATTAACAGACCTCTTTCAATGTTTTGCTTATGATTCTATTACAAACTACAAAACCTTTTTAAATAACTATATAGGTGGCCATACAAACCTTTGCACATTCATTGCGAGCTTTGTCCCAGTCTATTTCATGATATGGAACTGAATAGAGCTCCTTCCTCAGAGAAAGAACCGTGGGTGTAATTGGGCCAACAAATCTTTTTCCATACAAATAGGACATGGGGAGATAAACCATTCTACAATGACACCACATCCTTCCTGTAAAACAAATGAAAGGAAGACTTTTGTTCCTTAGACAAAATAATATGCAGAAAATGTCACAAGGAAATGCGTTCAGTTGAACCAAGTACATCATTAAAACACAGATGGATATCCTCAAAAAGGTATTTTAGTAGAATGATTTAGCACATAAAAGAAAATATGCTTCCTTGGAATGCCAATCAGGTCTTACAAGAGTATGAATAGAAACACAATTTATTAATTTAGGCATACCATTGGCAATTTATAGCTATGTCTACAAAGGATGTATTAAGTAGACATACACTACAAACAAAATTATTTCCTAATTTTCTATATCAGACTCATAATCTGTTATCAAATAATGCATAAAATATGTCAATTTGCATCTTATTAGAATAACAATCAGTTTCATCCCACCAAGGAATCAAGGATAGTAACGGAATAGGCCACAGTAAAGATCAATACTCAGCAGCAACTCTGAATAATGGGTAGAGAAATTGTGTAGTGATTTTATTGTCTTTATAGAGACAACAAGGTGGATTTATGTTTTGTTTGGAGTAGGACCGAAGTCATGAGATTAATCTCCTAGGTCGGAACAAGTTGATAGGAACCCCTTTGTTTCGCCCCCATATCGTCGCACGGGAGACATGGGGCGAAAAAAGGAGGAAAGGGATGGGGTTTCTCTAAGATATAATGCAGGAAGCGAGTATTCTTTAGTTATATTGTTTCAGCTCTTACAAGATTGCGGAAACACTTAAATTATTTATGAACGCTTACAAGAATTTTAAATAGACAAAAGAAAGAGAAATAGGACGTAATAGCAAACATTACCTGGATGAAATGGAACAATATATGGGAGAAGCCATATCTCAGGTGGCAAAGGATTGTTTCCAGACCATTCAAACACCCCAAGTACCTAAACATACAGGAAAACAAGAAAAATAAGAATCAAAAGTCATCATACTAACGTAGAAACAGGAGTAAATCATATAAACAGCAAGGCGAGGGATAAGTCTGGACCGAGAGCCACATCTTTCCCCACGATGTTATTGCAGTGGCTCCACCATGATTCAAAATCCAGTCTCGACCTTTCTCCATCGCTCCATCTCCTTCATTCGCCCCTTCACCAAGCAACCTCAAAGTAACATAGGTCAAAACAGAACCGAACATGGTGCTTGGCCCCTCAATGTGCAGACCCCATCCCCCGTCGCTGTTCTGTTACATTACATGTTTAGCAGTAAGCACATGTTCCTCAAATGTATAGAAGATACATAAATATTAGATACCTTTGGCATATTCTAGAAGCATAACACCATAAATTTACATGTAGAGTTCAGTCTTCACCTGATGATTGTAAAGATAGCGACAAATCTCACGCTTGTGTTCTTTTGACAATGTTGCATTTAATGCCCCGGTAATAGATAATGCGATAACCTGTTCCAAAAACGAGGAAAATTGATATATAAAATAATGACTAATCTACGACAGTTGTCCAAATTCCCAAAATCGGTTTCTTCCAAGAAGCAAGGTGACAACTGCTGAGAAAACATCAAGGTCAATATTCAAACACTCACCAGGCCAGGCATTAGAAACATTGGACCTCCATAGTCTCCTGCCCAATGACCATCGTGAGCTTGCAGAGTTGAATGGAAACTAATGGCCCTCCTCAATGTATCGGTTACTTTGTCTTCTGTAATTTCATCTATATCTTTCACTTTTACTTGGGGCAAAATTGTGGTGTTCGGATTCTCCTTCGTAAACTAATATTCAAAATAACAGAAAACTGAAAGTTATTCACATAATTTCGTAAAGATCAAAATATAGTTAGTTAAAAAAAAAAAGTACTATGATAGATTAACAATTCAAGTCACCCATAATTTAGTACTTCACATACGTACAAATATGATCAATAATGCTACCACTGTTCAGCTGTTTAGATACTCATAGGAGTTCTTTTGTTTTGTCCACATAACAGTCTTAGATGGCAATCAAATGAGATAAGACAAGAAAATATAGCTGAAAATTTATTACTTTCTTAGAAGCCATCTCTCATAGTTATTAATATGCCATGGATTTACATTGTCAACGTTCCTAAATCCAACCCCACACTAAGAATTCATTAACTGTTGGCAAACAGCATTGAGAAAAAAACATTCCTCTGTATTACTCCAACAACCTTTGATTACACAAGTTATGCAATTTAAGATCAAACGATTAAACTAACTGCACTAACAAATAAAAATTAGAAATTTAAATAAATTTATTTGCTCAAACATAAACTTCAGGCATCTTGCAGATAAACATGGAACAACCCGTAACATCAAATGACGAAATCGAGTAAATTAAACAAGTTGAAAAAATGAAAATAAATATGTACGGCCTCACTAACTTGAAGTCTCATGAGAAGATCAGCAGAGTGCTTCTGCTCGAAACGATGTTTAGTAAACTGCTCTCGAAGCTTCTCGATCTCGGCCAGATCTTCAGAAGACCCGAGACTGGGATCAAATTCCCAGATTTGGCGGCCGATATGTCCATTTAGTGAACGCAACCACGGGCTTGATCCCTCCGCAATTTTCAGTTTCCACATTACAATTTTCTCCTTTTACCTCTCTCTCTCTCTCTTTCTCTGATCGTATTGTTTTCTGTCTGATGTATAGCACTCAGCTCTGCAGACAAAAATACATAAATAAAATTAGGGCAAAATTATATAAGTACCACTAGCAAAAGAGAAGATAGTAAACCAAAAGGAATTAACATATACGATGATAAACTCGTTGGTAGAAATGCAATTTCTTCTGGTTAAGAGATCAAACAGCAAAATTGAACCAGATTTAAAAAAACATTCATGAATCCATTCATTTACCACAAACTTTTATATCTGATGTAGAATAACTGGCATTTGAAATTGATAAATACACTATAATTAACATACATGCAACTTCTGGGAACCACCAAAACAAGTTTCCGTATCCCACAATTTCTGCAGTTAATTCAATCTCCGAAGTGAGAATCACTAACACTGTTAGTTATAACATCACATACATTTCAACTTTCAAGCAGCGGATTCAATTTCATAAAATCAAAAAAAAAAATCAAAAAAAAAAAAAAACGCTTCATGAAAATGCAGAATCACAAAAATCAGAAGCGCTAAATCGCTTCATCTGCACAATCGAAATCATGGATGAAGATGAAGAAACTTACAGGAAGCAAAAATGGAGTAGGAGTTGAATCGGAGTTCCTACTGATCTGATCTGTGAGAAGTAAAGAATGGAGAGTGAAATACAGGGCGGACCCGACTATGAGAGAAAGAAGCCAAATTACGGTACTTCACCAAAATTGTTGGAGCCATATTTTATTTTTTATTATTATTATATTTTTTTTTTAAGTAGGAATATTTATTCATATTGGTGAAATTCTACATTGTATATGATATTTTGATTACTTTTGATATTTCTCACAAATCGATAAATTAATAAACTCGATAAAATAATAGTTTTTCTTGGTCTGATCATGTAAAAACTTTCACGTATTAAATTATTAACTCGATAATTTAATAATTCGCTAAATTAATAGGATTTTTGAGTATATTAATTTATAAATATTTAACTGTGACAAAAAGTACGACTTATTTGCACTCATATCCAAACCAAAATCAATCCTACAAAAAACCTCATCCTCTTGTATTAAATTGCACTCTTATCCAAACTAAAATCAATCCTATAAAAAAACCCATTCTCTTGTCTCTTGCCTGAAATACCCCTCACAATATTATTTAAATCAATTTCATCTATTGACCCCATATTTTAACAAAAATATCACATTAATCCTCATTTTCACTATTTTTTTAAAAGATATTTTTTTGTCTAAACATTTTTTTTCCCGGCCGCTGATCGACGTTGACGGCGGTTTCCGGCATTATTTTTTTTTTTTTAAATCGAGTATTATTACATACTATATACACGTGATGTGATGCTGCATTCACGTGTTCTCAATACATATTTTAATAAATTGTAGCAGGCTTAGATTAGGTGATATATTTTAATAGATTAGGTGAGAATATTTATTGATTTTAATTATATATATAAAAAAAAAATTTATTAATTTTCAGTTCAAAGACAGTGAGAGTCCAGTTGGTTGTAAACTTCTAGAAGCTGTAGGCCCAAGAGCTATGTGGCCCTTTAATTTGATATTATCATATATATATATATAAGAAAATGCTATTTACGGTTTAAAAAGTGCTATTTACCGTTCAAAACAAAAAAGTGTTTATCTCTCTAAAACCCCTAAAATTGCTAAAAAAAATGCACGAACGCCCAAAGTCGGGCGCCG